GACAATATCCAGACATCCTAGACCTTTTTCTCTCCTCTACAAACCGTCCTATCACCGCAGAAGTGATAGATGATCAATCATCAGATCATGTACCAGTCTTTGTGCACTTGGGAGTCTATAAAGTTGAAAAGGAACATAACATTAAAATTACGGATTCGCCAAAATTCCAAAACCTCGCAAATAATCAAATCCCATGTACCCCCCTCAAAACCACAGAGGATATTGATACAGTTATTCAAAATATTACTAATCAAATAAATAGCGCCTATGGAAATGCTACTGCGCAAATAATCATAAAAAAAATCATTTAAAACTTCCCCACGACATCAAAAATATGATACGTGAACGCAACAGACTCCATAAGCTTTACATGTATTCACGTGACCCAACAGTAAAGTCATTAATCAATAGAATGAACAGGCAGATCAAAAAACTAATTGATGAACACTGCACCGCCATGTGAAATAACAAGATTGATAACCTTAACGTAGAGGATGGCGCAATTTGGAAATTTATCAGAAATCAGAAAGCAAACAGAACTAAGAATGTGCCCCTGAGGAATAACACAGAACACTTATACACGGATGAGGAGAAGGCAAACGCTTTTGCTAAATATTTAACCGAACAATTCACATCCGACACAAATCCTTCTGATCCGAACTTCATTGAACATGTGAATAACGCGATTCAAAGATGGCTTTTTCAACCCAGCACCAAGAATTTACCAAATTTTACCGCCTCAACTGAAGTTAGTAACATTTTCTGAAAATTTCACAAACGTATAGCCCCGGGTAAAGATAATATCTCAAATAAAATGGTCAAAAATCTACCCAGAACACAGATCCTCAAACTAAGTGGGATTTTCAATGAATGCCTCTTTATGAGCCATTTTCCAAAATCATGGAAACATGCTACTAGAGTTCTCCTCCCCAAGCCAGGAAAGGATTATACACCGGTAGAAAATTACCGTCTGATATGTCTACTACCAACGCTAAGCAAAATCTTCGAAAAATCACTTACAAACGCCTGGATTCAGTACTGAGCTCGCTGCCCGAACAGCAGTACGGTTTTCGAAAGGGGCTTTCCACATCCATGCAGTTGGTCAGGATAGTAGAGTTCATAAGTGCAGCAATTCATAAACATCAAACGACGGCTTTCCTTATGCTAGACGTGGCCAAAGCTTTTGACCGCGTCTGGTATAACGGACTCATATATAAAATGATCCCTCTCAACGTCACCAAAGAGATGCTTATCTTTATTTATTAATTCATCACCAATAGGTTCGCTTTAATTCCACCCTGACCCCACATATTTCCACAGTCATGGGGAAAGCAACTGGGGTTGCTCGAAAGCTTAGCCCATCGTCATTAGACCTAGCAAGTGGAAGGAGATTTATACAAGTATTATTCAGCCTTTTCTGACATACGCTTCACCGGTTTGGTGTACTGCCTCCAAAACTGACTTTCTCAAACTACAGACATTTCAAAACAACTTCTTACGAAAAATGAGAAGTGCACCTTGGTTTATTCGTAAGGAAGATTTGCATATAGACCTCAAAATTGAAGATACATCTCACACCAGATAGATAACTAATAATTTTTTCACTAAAGCAGTCACTAACAACACCATACACTACGCAGACAACTTTAAATATGCATTGCTTGACGAATATTTCAACTTAAGACCATATGCCACTCATCTATTTACATTTGACATTTAGTCTTACCATAATATCATATCTCAGTGCAACCAACACCAACACATATCATACAGGCATGGGCCTTATTTTTATACGCGTCCTCAGAAAATTCACCCATTATCGGCAATAAGGTTATACACGCGGTGGTATACCCATTATAGGGCAAATGAGGTGTTGGTAAGACTGTGATGAAATTCGCGCCCGACACCAGCCTAAAAGACTATATCACACATATATCATATAATGTGTTTGTAAATTATATGATATATATAGTATCACATATATCATATAATTTACAAACATGCACGCCTGTTCCGAGATTCGAGTCCAGGCCCAACGATAGGGCAGGCAGCAGCATTAACACTATACTGATCAAGAAAGCTTTTTGGCTTAATACAACAACAATAATTCTAGGTGCTACGAAGCTAAACGCTTCTGAGCCAGACTATTAGAAGCAGGCTTTATTAATTAAAGCTGCATGAAATAATGCTGCAAGCAATGATGCTACATTTTAATAAAAATCGATTATGTATATTATTTAAAAATAAAAGATCTAAATTATTAACAAGTAGCTCTTTTTCGCTTTTAAATCGCTAAATTTGTTAAGAAATTATAGGCTGACTTAATTCAAAATTAAATATATTATATTTTGCCGAACGGCAACATTGTGAGAGATCGTTAAGCACGAGGACGCTTGGTTGACAAATTTGGGATTTTTTTTCCGGAAGTGGCAAAGTCTGACAACGCAAGAGGATCATATATATCTTGGAAGTTAGAATAGATGGAGTAAGGATGACGTCACAAAATTGAAGCCAAGGATAAGTTAGTAACGTGACGTCAAGACTTATCATGGCATCCGTACAGCGTACGGGTAAGACTACGAAATATACTGTTAAATATTTTTTTCTTTTTTTTTTTTAATGGCGCTTTATTTATTCTCACTTCAAAACGTTGAGCACGAAAGTGTAAAATGCAAAAAAATCAACAAATACTGCTTTGATTGACACAAATTTCGGCAGGAAAGTAGCATATATATTATGCATAAAACAAAATCAATAATTATATACAGAAATCAAAAGAATATTAAATTTTTGTAAGTTATCAGATAATGACATACTGGAGACTTAAACAGAATTATGTATATAAATGAAAATAAACAGCATAAAATTTATAAAAGGACATTAATAGGGTATATGGTCCCCCACTCACAAGCTTTGTATACACTTTGTATACACAAGGTCAATCAGAATACTTTGTATACACAAGATGTATACAAAGTTTACACCTTGTGACCATGCTTTCAATTAGGTGGTCAACCACCGCAGAATTAAGCAATCGCCATTCTTCTTGTAGAGTTGTTTCCAGCTCAATAAGAGGGGCTGGAGGTGGGAAACGTGAAGATATCACATAGCCGAGAGCATCCAAAGATTTTCAATGGGATTAAGTTCGGGCGAATATGCTGGCCACGCCATACGCGCAATCCCTTCACTCTCCAGGTAGTCATCGACGATGTCAGCTCTATGGGGACGTGCGTTATCAGCCATTAAAACAAAGTAGGGCCTACTGCTGCAGCATACAATCTCACAATGGGTTCTAGGACTTAATCTCGATACCGGACAGCCGTCAAAGAACCCCGTTTAAAGATGTGCAGTTCGGTGCGGTATCCTAATGAAATCCCTGCCCACACCATAATGCTTCCGCCTCGGAATGGGTGATGTTTTGGGATTGATTGCGTGTTCGTTGTTCACGCCATATCCTTATACTCTTGTCATCTGGCTCCAGAGCAAATCTTGACTCATCAATAAACATGACATTGTCCCAGTCAGACACATTCCAATTGACATGTTCCCGGCACCACTGTAATCGTGCCCCTCTTGATTGGACGAATAGAGCAACACAAACTCGAGGTATCCGGGCGTACACTCCACTCATATGTAATCTTCGGCGTACAATAGCTGCAGATATCGCCTTACTAATGGACGCTGTAACCATAGATGTCACACGTGTGGAGTTTGCTCTGCGATTCCGCTTGGCTACGATAGCAATATATCGATCTTCCGCGGGGTTTGTAACCCTTGGGCGACCGGCTACGAGCCTTCGGACAACTGTCTGTGTGGTTTGGAATTGTTTCCATAAACGTGAAATTACAGAATGATAAACACCAAAGAAAAGAGCAACATCTGTGATCGACTGTCTAGCTTCAATACGCCCCACAGCCCGCCAGCTCTCAATATCTTCCATTCGTCTTCTGGAAGTCATAGAAACACATATGTCTTGAAAACAAATTGTACGAAAGTTTTGAATACCTTCTATCAGCACTTACAATCAATTTCTGTAATCCTTCATTAAGCTGGCTTCTTATAAGTCTGCCTTTTTTGCATATTTGTTGACATGAAAGCGCGATTGGCTGTTACCTAACATGTTTGCAAACTTCCATCTACCTCTGCAGCGAATTGCATCCTCTTCAATTCTGATTGGTCTTCCGGAAATTAGCATTTTCCTCTCCGTGCTTAACTTTTTGAAGTGAGTGTTTATGAACATTTTATTGAATGCACAAAATACTCATTTTTATTGATCTAAATATTATTTTTGCCTGGGCTAAAATTTTTGCAATCTTAGAATTTTTTTGCTGTGGTGAAATCTAGTTCGTAAAAGTATGTACGAGAATATGAGAAATATAGAGGACCTAGAGAAACAACACAACTCGTTGAATTCAGTATATTGTTCGTGCATATGGTGACAGGCAGAAATATGTGCTTCTTGTACTTTTTTGCCTCGACAGTGCCGTGCATGAACAGTATTTGCAGCCGTCCTTACAATTTCATCTGTACGCTAAAAGGTAACTCTAGAAAACACTCTGATGGTATTTAAATCTTTGTAATTAACATGCGAAAGTATAAGATGCGTAGAAGTGAATAAGAAATTAAGATTAATTCCAAGTTAAAGCTTAAGCCTTCCTTTCGTATCGTTGACGCAGAATAGCTTGAATTAAAAGTATTACGACTGCCCTCTCGCACTTTCACAGATCTTGATTTTTTCCTGTGTTTTCTTCCTTTTGTATAGCTTCGCATAAATAATGCAGAAGAGATGCGTTAGCACACAGAAATAAATTTGGAGATCTGTGTTGCCACAATACCTTCGAAATGATACGGCTGCTTTTTATTCTGTTCATTCTAAACTATTCGTTTTATGCACAAAACACAATCTTCAGTTTCTACACATTATGTATATATTGAATGTATAGGCACTGGTTTTATGAACACTCTGTTAAAAAGGTTCATTACATTATATTCCTTTGCAGAGCTTCGCAAGTCTGCCTCAGTATCCACCACAACAACCTTATTGGTACGCGTCTGCTATTGGACAACAAGAATCGGGACCTTGGGGTCCGTGGACACAAAGTAGTGAATGCTCGAGAACCTGCGGTGGAGGAATAGCTTACCAAACTAGGATATGCAAGGATATCAGGTGAGTTCTATTTTAAGTTTCCATTCCTGTGTGCACAAACATTTTTGTAAAAATGATTAGATACGACTTCCGTTAGTTATTATATTTTTTTTATGTGCTGAACGGGGTTACAAGGATTCAAAGATATAATTTTAACCTAAGGCTATAAGGTATTTCTCCCGCCTTCTTAGCATGCCTTCGTAGTGTGCATCGTGGTCCTGCACGCTGGGCGCGTATTTCAGAGGTTCGCGGTTCGATTCCCGGCAAAAACGTTGCATATGTTTCATCTCTCCTGCTTCCGAAATAAACCAAATGACTTTGCAAGTGGCATTTGAACTAAAAGGATGGTGGATGATGATTCTCCCACCCAGAATTTGGCAATTGGGTTCCCTAAAAAACCTCAGTCGTCCTTTAAAAGGGGGAGCGTATAAGGTATTTCTCCATCCTACTTGTCATGCCTTCCTGGTGTGGTGGTCTGCCCGCTGGTCGCGTATTCCAGAGGTCCGCTGTTCGATTCTCGGCAAAAACGTTGCATATTTTTCATCTCTCCTGCTTCCGAAATAAACCTAATGACTCTACAAGGCAACGAAAGTTTTGGTCTAATAACTGAGCTTCCAAGTTGATTTCAATTTATTGTGAAATAATAATTTTATGTTACTTGTTTTGACTACAGTAATTCCTCTGTCTGAAACTTGGATCTGTACTGATTCTTAAAGAAATATGTTACGTTGTTTTCAGTTTACGTTATTTCTTCTTGAAGAAGTATGTAATGCTGTTTCTTCATCTGAGCTTGCTGCTTAAAATGCATTTACTTTTAGAAATGTTTATCTGCGTAACTAGGTTTCTGCTGTTACGGTTCTGAGTGATACCACAATTCCACAGGAATCGGGCAGGTGAATTTGCAGCTATTTGCTTCATGTTTTTTGCATAATATAATTTGATTCGGCCTAGAGCCTCTGGATAAAGTTATAATTATATCAATTATTAATGATTAGTTTTATGCAGATCAGCTTGCGTTAATGAAAACATAATTGCTAGTACGTTCGTTTTACACCGGCATACACTACAATGCTTGAATGATCAAGTTTTCATCAAGAGTTTCGGTATGAATGACCAAGATTATATTATCGAAAAATCATATGTAAGTCACCTGTAATGATACATAAGGTGTTGACCAATCGGTGAATCACTTTATTGTATCGGATCGGTGATCGCTTTACTGTAGATCACTTTATTTACCTAATAGGTGGGCCACAATTTCCTCCTATAAAGGAGCAGACAATTTACATCCACGCCTTGTCCGGGATTCGAAACTAGGCTGTTACGTACGGCAGTCTGATTTGATGCAGTACATCCATCTTTTCTCGTGTAAAAGGTAGTTATTTTAAAGTCGATGATTTTTGTTACTTATATGATTTTACACTAAATTCTCTTAATCATATTTACGACATCGCTTTATTTAAACACCTTCAGTTCTTTATTTAAGTAAAAGAGATAACCACTTTGAAAATTAAGAAAAGAATGTGATTTGAATAAGCAAATACATTTATATATTGTAAAAGATACCAAAATATTTCTGGTACTGTAATACTACTAAAATGAACAAATTCTTTGATTTACTACCGGCTGACGGTACCGTGTGGAATTTTTCATACGGCATTCTGTCATCAGAATTTGCTCCCCCAGTGGTACCTCAAATTGTTGATTACAGCAGTATAGTTGTCCTTGTGTGGCGTGATGACGTGCAGACCATTAAGTATTCATATCGGAGATAGAACAATGTTCAGACATTAAGATTTGTGGAAACCTAGACCATTTCACGACATTTACAAATGAATCGTCAGGTGTGTAGGGATGCAGTTGTGACATCATCTCAAATAACACCTTTTGCTTGTTAAAGAAGAGGAAGCGGAATTCGTTGAGAAAGACATGCAATGCTGGATGTTATAATGTTAGATATGAATCTGAAGTAGGCACAAAATTAGAGAAATTCAATAGACTGTCCCTGAAAAATCGTTGCTATGCAGCTGACGATATTATAGAGAATTACACGAATTAGCTTTGTTTTCGTATTGACAAAACTGAGCATACTATGTTCGTAAAAAGTAATCTTCCAGAGCGTAAACCAGTAGCACATCTACTATCCTCAATAGGGCGTCGAAAGAATCTTTTCCGAGAATTTTCGCTTTAGTGATACCTAATAGATCGAATTACGTGAAAACGAATTATTTGGGGGAACCTAAGAGGGAAAGAGATTTAAGCGAAACATTTTCATTTGAAATGCAAAATGTCCCATGTAACTAGCTGGGACATCGACTCTAGCAAAATATTTCGGCAAGAATGTTTCCAGTGGCAGGAAACGGAGACTCTCTAGATGGGATAACTTCATATGAATGATGTTCTGACCGATCCTCGTACTCTCTCAATCTCCGTTCTTCCGAGTTTTGTTTTCTTTTCATTAGCGTTAGTAATAACTGAATGGCATGCAGTTGATTCCAGTTATCTTCGAGAAACTTTATGGATTCGGCAGCATTATATTGCAATACATGGATAATATTTCAAAAGAGGTGGGCATGACACGAACATAGTAACAAATATATACTTAAAATTATTTATTATTAGAATTTTCTAGCTACAGTAAGAAGCAAGTGCCATCAGTTGCTAATAAAATTAGACGAAACCTTAGATTTTGTGTAATGAAAGAAAATATTAGAAACCTAGATTAGAGAAAAATTTGTAACCCAGTGGTCATCAAACATTGTCGACTCTCGGAACTCTTAGAGCTATAAGATATATTCTTGGGACTCCATCCTCCTTAAGAAAAATATGTCTTAAAATAATATTTAAAGTAGATCAATATGTTACAGGTACTTTTTGTAAAGGCAACTAAAGAAAAGCATTGTATTTTTTACTAAAACATTTTAACACAAAATTAATATAATTTACTCATTCATTGTATTAACTCGTGCTCCAAGTCCACCTGCCTTGCATTATATTTAATGAAAGAGGATTTTGCTTGCAATGTTTCACACAAACTGTCGAAATCTCTTTTTCATGATGTTATTTACAGTCATATTTCATATTCTGCATGTAATTTGGTTCTATATTTTGTTTTTGTTGCTACAAATTTAAAAAAAAAAATATTTTACTTTAATAGGTTTTACTGAGTGACATTAATGTGGTTGGGAAGTTGAAGATGATATGCTTAAGTAAATAACACTTCCACACGTCTTCCACACCACAAAACATTTAATGAATAAGGATAATAGAAAACGTACAGATTTTAAATTAAATAACGGTACTGTTGGGCGTTCTCGCGGTTGTTAGATACAAATACAGTTCTTCATGACTTTAAGTATTTGAATAGCTACTCAGCGTCTACTCGCACTTGCTATTTGAGTTCTTTTGTTACCACCTTCGCTTGGAATCAACGTCTATTTGACATCATCGTCTTTCACCTCGCTCTCGCGGTCGGCGCCTAGGTGATGCCCTCTGGTGGCTATGTAGAACTAACGGTTACCACATTGATAGGGTTTGTAGCAGTTGGGAAACTTCTAGATATGCATGAATCTATAGCTAAAAATGTAGATGCTCCGCTTGCTTAAATTTATATTTTAATATCGAATCTGTTGATACGTCCACAAGCTGTTCCCTTTCCTTCTGATTTGTCGAAGTATATGAACAGAATTTTTATCCAGACATATTCAGTTTTTTTTTCTTCTGGGAAATATTTTCTTATGGTTTTCTTCAATTCAAAAAGCTGCTCTATTATATAATGTTGTTGGGACTTAGCTCACTTGTCTGAAAATAACATCAGAACAAGCCAACGAAATTCATCATGACAAGTAGTGCAAGACTGCGTCTGTTGTTGGCAGAGCCTTGCATTCCTTGTCATGTGACAGTACGACTTTGCTCAGTTCAGCCCCCAATTTTGATGGAGAGCACCCTAAAGGGACGGTCCGAAGGTCTCCCATCTCTCTTTTCCTACCAACTACCTCTCGACAGTACTTCCGGCTCGCCGTATATTTAGAGTTCCCCCATGCCAATTCAGTCTCCATTACAAAACTGTTTAATTTTGCAAAGCGTTCCATGTTATCCCCTTTGACATATGATAACTAGATGTTAAGCTTTAAACACCAATGCATTATTTTTCTTTAATTTCATAATATGTATATTCAGCCTTTGAATTTAAAACGTCGGCAACCAAGCTTCTGGTTAGTTTTCCAGCTAATTAAATGTATATTTAGTTAACAGACACTAGTCAGCTAGTATAAATGCTTTATAATTTACTTTTTGAATTTTTCTATTGATTCTTAAAACCATGGGGTTTAATTCGCGAAACCCCTGGATTTCGAGGACCAGTGTTTAAAGTCCACTGCTGTAGCGTAATTAACTATCTCTTTTTTTCTGTGGCTTAATCAAAAATCATACGTTCTTAGGTTAGAAAAGTAATGCGAACACCTTTATGTGGTATGTAATTTTAATATTTGTGATGTTTAAGAAAAGGATGCGTTAAATTCATAGTTTTCTTTCTAGCAAAAAGTCCATTTCTAGCAAAAAATTTCTAGCAAAAAATCCATGCTCATCATTAAATACAGCATAAAAAGCATTATGTATTATCTACTAATTGTTTAAAACATTTTGCAGGTAAATAATACATGGACCAAATATTATTTTTTTTTTAAATTTAACACCAATCCAATTTTATATTTAGCAATCAATTATCTCTTTTATGACAACCACTGACAGTTTAATCTTGATTTTTTCCTTTCAAGAGCCGATGGAAAATATTCCTGTATAGGTTCCCGGACAAGATACTTCTTATGCAATTTTCAAGTAAGGAATTTATTTTCAGGTGTTCTAATGAGTTTATTAGTATTTAGGTGACAAAAGTTTATTATTTCATTTATTTTCCTTAGGAATGTCCGCCTGGTTCAAAAGACTTCAGAGCTGAACAATGTGCCAGTTCAATTTAGTTTTATTCACAGGAAAGTATTACAGTTGGCTTCCTTATTATAATGGTAATATATTTTTACTGTATTCCTGTATTATCACTTTGTAATGTTCCAACATAGAATTTACAGCTAAATGCCCGGAATCTTGAGAACTGGTAAGCGAATGAACGCTTTTGTTCAGGAGAGAGACCTTCAGGAAGGGTTGATTACCCTTTATTACTCAAAATAAAGTTCATAGTCGGTCCTAACTCAAGGCATAAAAAAGCCTCTGCTTGGGCTTGAACTGGAGAATACTAAGAAATACACTTAACTAAAAAGATATAGCCGAAGCTATCAAAATTCTAGAGGAGTTGGCCTCTTGAATGCAATCTAAACCGCGACGCTATCAAGTGTTCGAAATACGGCTGAGCGTAGAAATAGCTTTAGAGAGGGTATAGACAAAAGGCAAACGCGCGCTGGTTAGAATCTCTGACTCTCTAACGAAGTCAGTGGAACTTCAACTTTAAGTACCGCTCTTCCTTCATCTGCATTTTACCGCGATTCTGAAAATACATTCTGGCAGAAAAATTATAAGCTGAAGTTAGAAGCGACGGGAAAGTGGTTTTAACTAAAAATTAACTGTTAAAAATTTAGGATAAACCGTAAAATTTCTTTTATTAAAAAAATCTGATGTGTACACCTCATGACATCCTTGTACGGAATATTAAATTATACGCCATTTTTTTCTAGATTTCATTTAAGCTTATTTTCTCAATATTCATTAGAGCTATATTTCTCATCCAAACAATTCAAGTTCTCACTTAGCAACAAAGCAAAAATACATGAAACTCCAAAATGTCTTTAAATAAAATTGAAGAATATAGAAAATTATAAAACATCAAATAAGCTCAGATTTGTAACATGTTATTGGCGAAATCTATCAACACATTATCAACAGGACAGTAATTTTATTGTGGGAGTGCTGCAAAATTTCGCATTTCTTATTACTGGCGTTATACCATCAATAATTATAACCACAATTAGAACTTCAAATTTAGCTTTGCGAAATTTACGTTACTTTTCCCGGTGTAGTTTAAAGTTCACTAACTGAGCATCTTTGCAGACTATTTGTAGGAACTGAAAAGAATATATATAGCATATATATTTTTTAAATGCTTACAATTTTTTAAAGTCAAGGATTTTTTGAACGATATTTGCTTCATTTCTTGTATTCATTCAGAACGAATGTTACTCTTTCGCTTTCAGCTCAAAAGCCATGTGAACTGAATTGCATGCCTTCTGACGGAAATTTCTATATCAGGTTGGATCGGAAGGTGATAGATGGCACCAGATGTCGGAATAACGGCTCTCTGGATGTTTGTGTAGAAGGACTGTGTTTGGTAAAACAATCTTTCTGAACGTTTTATTCCTAAAATACCTTCTTACCTTGCAGATTACTCCTAGAAAATTTTACAAATATTTAGAAAAACTGAAAATATTTAGAAAAGTAGGTCATGAATTTATTCAGTAATAGGCGTTTTGTAGAATCATTAGGTTATTTTGATGACGCAGATGTGAAACATGAGCAAAGCCCTCGTTTGGTCTCGAACCTGGACCTCACGAATACGCCCTGAGTGTGCTACCGTTACACCCCGAAGACATGCTGAAAGGAAGGAAAAATAGCTTATATGTTCCCCCTTTTAAAGGGCGACTGGGATTAGGGGACCCAGTCGCTATATCACGGTGGTGAAGAGTCATCAACCCCCCCCTTTTAGTTCAGGGCGCCACTCATTATGTTATTCTTAACACTAGAAGCGCCAGAGCAGTCATTTTGACTGCTTTCGTTATTTGACCTTGGATGCCTTAAAAACCCTTTATCTTAAGAAGTCACAAATTTTGGTATTTTCTAAAATATGTCGAAAATTATTGGTACCAAATATAAATCGAATGAAATTAAAATTAACGGAGATATTATTAGTTATACCTAAAAGCGCCACGAACAGTTATAATGAATGCTAGTAATACTGGGATAGATTTATATGGTATTCTCGCTCAGAAAATATTTTTCTTGGAAAAACATCTGGCGTACATATACATTCCTTTCATTCACTGATTATTTACAGAAGGATATACTTCCCTTCCGCTCAGAAAATCCCTTTTGTTGGGAAAACATCTGGCCTACACATTCCTTTTCACTCTTTATTTACAACATCAAATACTTCCTCACCTCCTTGTCAACGGTCCTCCCCTTTTTGGCGAAATGATATAGTCCTTAGTTTGCAGTAGTTCAGTCTGTTTCATGACATTTCATTCTTTCAAGCGCACGGTAATGGCAGCTCGAAGACCTATAAACCAGGAGGAAATCTAGTTGCGGATGAGCAGTTATTTCCATCCAAAGCCAGGTGTAAGTTTATAGAGTATATGCCGAATTAACCGAATAAATTCGGTATCAAATTTTGGATGTTAGTCGATGTAGACCCGAAGTATATGTGCAATGCTTTTCCATATCTTAGAAAAAATACATCGAGAAGTGAAACTGAAAGTCTTCCTGAAAATGTAGTAATGCGGTCTTCTAAGCCATTATCTGAATTCAGGTCGAACGGACAATAATTTTTCCTCACTATAATTAGCTAGAAGACTTAAAATGAAAAACACAAGTTTTGTCGACACAGTAAGAAGACATCGACAAGAAATTCCGCATGAAGTAAGGAAATCAAAAACCCGGCTATTTGAAACAGTTTTGCTAAAGAATGGTGAAACTACGCTTACACTGTCTATCAGGGAAAAAGGAGTAAAAATATCCTATTACTAAGTACCTTACATCCAAAAGTGTAAATATAGATTCACAAAATAAGAAAAAGCTTCCAGAAACAGTAGAGTTCTATAACAAAACCAAATGTGGTGTTGATATCGTTGACAAGATGACACGTAAATATTCTGTTCGGGCTGCTTCACGTAGATGGCCTGTGCATGTTTTCTATAATATGCTGGATTTAGCAGGGACGAATGCCTACATTATCTACCATAAATTGAGTGATAAAAATATTACAAGGCACGACTTCCTATTTCAATTAGCAGACGAATTAAGAGAGCTTTATTTAAACAGAAGAAAAACCGCAAAATTGCCCCAGGAAATTTCCAAATCTAGCAATAGACTCTCGAAGAAAATACATCAATGCCAGATTGGACTTTGTAAAAAGAACAAAACAAGTGATGTGTGTAAAAAATGTTCACATTATGTGTGTGGAAAATGCATTTCCAATATTGAAAAAGCAGTGTTTTGTAAAAATTGCGAAAAGCTGTAAAATGTGTTTTATTAAGGGTAGGCTGAAATTTATAATAAAATATCCTCTATTTTTTATTAAAATAATCTGTTATTCTTTAAAGTTCTTCAACAACTCTAATTAATATTCTTAAAAGCATTATAAAGCATTTACATTTGAATATATACATTAATTCGTTGAGCAGTCTTTTGACTGCCGTTGGCGCTTCTAGTTAGGGAGAAAGCTTGGCGCTTCTAGTGTTAAGCAGGAGACCTGAAAATTGAGCAATGCCTTCGCCGGAAATCGAATCTGGACCTCACGAATATGCGCCGAGTGTACTAACCATTACGACACGAAGGCATGGAGAAAGAAGGGCGAAAATAAGAGATACAACTAAACAATTATACAGAGTGTTATTCAGTAGCAGAATACTGAACAGATATAAGCAAATAAGAAAGAAAAGAAAATATAAAACCTAATGTCAAAAATTAAATATTTTCAACAGATTTTCTATCACAAAGTGCTTTAAAAATGATCCACGTAGTTTAGAATGATCCATCTTGTAGCAGACTACAAGATGTAAAACAGCAAAGTCTCGATCTCTCAACGTCCACCGAGACTTTCGGAATAAAACAGCATGCCCTTGATTCTGATGAGTTTTGACACACATGCCACTCGAATGTCTAAAGAAAAGCAATTTTGCTTTCAGAAAATAAGTCCGTGTATCAACATCGTGATGTGGGCGTAAAACAAGGTATCATGTTTTTAGCAGGTGTATGTTCTTTCGCTTCCCATTATATTTCCATGGGTACACACATCGATCGATCCCGTAACATGCTGTCTTCGTAATGAACTTATTAATGTGGTATTGCTTTCTATTGCATCCACACCTTTAGAAACACCATGGTATTATTGCAGTTTTCTGTTAAATTGGATTTAGCGACAGGATTTAGACATCCTTTAGAGCTTTGGTATTCAACTTATGGGGTAGCGAACCAATTTGGAGAGCAAAAATTTTAGTTTGGTTTCACAAACTGGCTGAAAACGCTATAAATAAATTTAACTGAATACAAATGCACCATTGATAAACATAATTCAGAAAAAAATAGTTTTTATAAGGAAAAATGTTATTAATTGATAGAGAGATTAATCTGTTTTCAGAACAACGATTTCAAAGAGATAGGCTCTGTTTGTTTAAAATCGTTATTTTAAAATCTAATTTGGATATGCCATCATGTATTGTGTGTCCGTCACAAGAACAATTTTTGAACACCTCTGTATGTTGCCATTGGAGCAAGTCTGAACCCATTTTTATTAGGGGGGTGGTCACAAATAATTGCTTTTTAGTTTCCTACCTTCGAGCACTTAATGATAAATTGACTTTCTCTTTCCCTGTCCAACATGCGCTAAAAACAAAATAACAATAAAACATTTACTTAGCTCACCTCTATTTGAAATATACTTTCCTTGCTGCTGTAGCGATCTCTACCAACTAGTACAAAATACAATAGCGAGACAGTTCTGGTGGTAGGCAAACAGTACCATCGCATTCGTTTTCAAAGGATATGCACGTAAGCAAATCATGAGAACCCAGATTCTAAGTACCGCCAATTGGACATCTGTCGGATTAAGTATTATTTTGGCGTAAAATACCTTAACGGAATACTTTTTAAGTTAAAACGTTTATGTTTCTTCATAAATAAGTGACAGAAAACTGGTAGGCTAGTTGAAAAAACAGACTGTTAAGGAAAAATGGACGGGAAGAGAGCTTCGATTTCGCCTACTTTAACTTCCAACGCCGGCAAAATAGATTTTCCTGTGCAGAGTCGAGACATAAAAAATGAACGCCTTGATAAGTTTGGACAACTAATTTATAAAGTTTGCTTTTTTATATACTGAACATGATGAACCAAAGGCTGGATAACTTCTGTGCCTGCTCTAACTGGCAAATGATTCACTGAAACCAAATAAAGAGCAGAGGCATCTATCTACACGTCAAAAACCCAAAATCCAAAGTCAAAAATATATAATTTTTTCAGAAAAAATAGGGCATTTGAAATAACAAAACTTTAACCGATATTAATAAACAAGCATTGCAGTTTTCTTAGCTAGTGAGCTATCGAATAGGTAAAACTAGCAAGCCGTCAACGACAACTAAAGAGTTAATTGTTAAAGCATCCCAGGATATTATGTAGGCACTAAATTTGATGAAAATGAAAGGCAACAGATATATCAAATGCCACTCTCTGTGACAACAATTTTTCGCAGAATGTGCGGAATAAGAATTAATGTGAGAAGCGATTTTTTTATCACACTTGAAAAAAGTTAATTTTTTCTGCCTTCAGTTGGATGAATCCACTGATTTCCTAAACTAATTTGTCTCGCAAAATATGGATAGAAAAACGAGTCTTTTGAAAACTTCATTTTTTTGAAAAAAATTCAAAGGCCTACGGGAGAAGTATTGGTGTATTTAATTATGGCAAAGCACACGAGGGCTATCTGCCTAAGGGAAGGGATGCCTTTGTGGAGGACTTTCTAAGGTAAACTGGGTCGTATACACGTTACACATAAAGAAAAGCACAAAAACGCCCATGCAGCCAGCCCGTTCGCGGGATTCGAAACTTGGTCCGAACTACCAGTGTTCAGAGACATTACCGCTCGTCTGCCAGTGGGCTGCCAACGGGAGAAGAAATCTTTAAATTAGTAAATTCTTGCTTCATATGCAGCAATATTTCTTAAACCAGTGTTGGGTACAATGATGGAGATCATATCCTGGTAGCCCGAATTAAAGAAATCTCTCCCAGTGCAATATGCGTTCACTGTATGATTCATAAAGAAGCGTTGGTATCTTAAATCATGCCATATCTGTTACATGCCATGTCTCCGATGTATGTCTGTAAATTGTCTTAGACTTTGAAGTTAAATAAAAATTTTATAAAAGAATGTTCCTTGAATTCAAGGATTCTTCTTCAGGTATGTGGAGAAATGCGCAGTGAACATGAGCAGCTTCTTTTACATGAAGAAGTGCGTTGGCGTTCGATGGGTAATGTCCTAACTAGATTGTTTGGGCATAAAGATGAAGTGTTTGTGTTTTTGAATGACAAAAACATTGATAAAAAAATTTTACGCTTTTTAACTGATGAAGAATGGCTATCTAGGTTAGCTTACTGAAACGCTATTTTTCTAAAAATGAACAAATTAAGTCTTCAATGTGAATACTCGTATTATTTCTAGCTAATGATGAATCCTTTACAAAGACAACTGATTTATGGTGTTCATGCTGCAAGGATATTAATTTTGCAGTATTCCTACTTTAGAAATTTGTATAGAAAACAAACTTAAAGTTGTTCAGTCAGGTAATGAAAATATCAGATCTCATTTGACAGATCTTAATTGTCAGCTGGAAGATTTTTCTGATTCTGCGTGAATCCGGAATTCCTTTCAGTGTATGTTAGCGAAACATTTATCATCTCAGTTAAGCGAAAAACCAACTGAGTTATCATATGATGATGAATTAAAATTTCTTTTCAAAGAACCTGAATGGAGCAGATTTTAGCTTAAAGTTCGAAATAAGTATCCAGAATGATCTGGTGGAATTCTAAAAGTGTTAATTACCCTCTTATGTGTCATATGTGTGTGTGCAAGATGGAATTTTTCCAATTTCTCTAATTAAAATCCAAGTATCGAAACAAATTAGCAGTCCAGCCCCCTTTGAGACTTAAATTGAGCAAAATAGGTTCAGAAATATCACTGCTAGTAAACAAAAAAGAAGTTAATTTTTATGTTGGTAACTATAGAGTATAGTTTAGAGTATTTGTTATGATACTACAGTTTATTTTGTATGAAATTAAAAAAAATAGATTAACATCTTCCTGATTTATAATATTACTTAGTGCTAGTTATTTGAGGGATTATAATCACATTATTGATTCCTTTAACTATTGGGTAGGCATATTACCTCGACGACGCAAGTAGAGTCTCACTACCAGAATGCTTGAATGACACTATTTTAAGGTAAAATCTTTGAGGTAATATTTTTCCTCCTCAGTTACGACGTTTAACCTGTTCTCAAAAGGTTAAACGGGAAAGAGTAAAAATAATTTGAAATTGCATAAACGGAAATATTAAATGATTATTTATTTCTTCTTTCAGTTTCGTTGCAAATGGTAATTAATTTATTCCTGATCTATTAAACTTTAAAGTTGAGCAGTTATCCATTTACTTATGAACACTTTTTGAATGTAGACGTAAACTTGCATTTTTCGACTTTCATACAGTTAGTAATAGTTTATAATTAATCAGTTTAGGATTATGGTCTGTAAGCAATTAATGAAGATAGATTTACAGACATTGTTAAAAATCTCTTAAAATAATATGAAAAAATGTATTTCAAAAAGATTTTTACGGTATTTAACGCATGCTTTAATTACGTAGACAAGTATGAAACCAAGGTCAGCACAGGTTTATTTCTAATTATTAAATTTTGAGTTGAAATTAATGTAAAAAGGAAGGGACTATGTAGTTTACTATTGTTGTTTACCTTAATATATTTTTACTGTATGCTGACAATTTGCTAGCAAATTCGAAATCAAATTATATATCACTTTGTTGAGAAACATGCTCGTCTCTAGATACTTAAACTGTCAGTAAAGCTCCTTTGGCTAAGAAATCAGTGTGTGTGAATTCGAGCTATCTTAAATTCGAACCGTATAAATTTTCATTTGGTTCAGCCACCATATGAAGACTATAACATATTTAAACGTTTTAACTTTACAGAGCTACTTTGGTTGAAGTATTGAAAACAATTAACTAAATGTAGTCATTTTTAAAGAATATTAGATTTTCAAAGGTGGAAGTGTGAAAATTCGCTGACCCATACTAATTGAAATTGCAGAACTATGAATCTTCTAATATTAGTAGGCTATGCTAACTTGTTACACCAAGGGAGGGTACACAGGGGGAACTGTGTACATTCTTTTTCACTTGAAGAACAACTGAAGAAAAATAGAATATCTAGCTTGCCAAATCCATCGGGTGGTCAAATATCGCTCACCTCATTTTAGTTCTTGCTTCACTTTCCGGATTAATTAGGCTTTTCGACGATAAACATGAAACTTCAATTGTGCTTTTGTCGAAATTCGACCCACGGATTTTTCAGCGCTAGCTGAAAGAGCAAAAAGCTTACACCATGATAACATGCATGAAAGGCAGCGATAATTTCGTGCACCTTAACAATAGATATCAACTTTTAAGATTTAATATGTGATACTCAGTTTTCTTTTGCATTTTGAGTTTACTTCGCATACTTTGCAAAATTATAAAATTTATTCCTACTCCTCCTGAAAGAGACCCATTTGAAAACATGGATCTAATAACAAAAATTAAATTTAAATAACGCTTTCAAATTTTCTGGAAAATTCTGTATGTCTCTTCATCTAATTCTATTGCATATTATGCAAGAACGATTTTTCAGAATAATCATCATGTGAGTAATCTTCCCCTTCTTTTCCTCTGTATCATTTTACTTTTCCCTTCAGCTTAGAGTATACTCGCACCTGGCAGCGACGAACCACCATGACATGATATTTGTAATACAAGTAGTCTAGCCTTCATTTTTCTTCATTTTTTCCTCAGTGTCGATTTTGATTTAGTGGATAAATTTTGATGGAAATACAAGTCAGAAACTCTGACTGATATAGTTGTAAAGTTAAATGGAAGCATACAGATGCCTGGCGCATATCTGCTGATAAATTAAGATGGTTAACTACTGATCAACACGCTATTCAAACTTTGATGGCTCTAGGTATCGTTGTGTTTTCACAATGAGAGAAACATACATTCATGCATGTAGATTCTTCATTATTTAATTTCTTTAAGTATAATACAGGGTGATAATATTTGGTGGCAACAATTTGAAAAGTTACACGGCTGTCTGTAGTGATTCGACGCAAAATACCGTTTCGAAAATAGTAGCCTTTCTAGGCTAAAGCCTTTATGGGCTAAAAAAAAGTGAGAGAGAAAAGCATTTTCCCAATTCATCTCGCACTGTCTCATTTAATGTTATTTTTTCAGCATGAAATTTTCAAGCAGTTAAAACGTATGTGAAACATGAATATTCACACATTTGTTTCTGATGCTCTATAAGACCATGAATTTTGCAATCTTTTTAAAATTGCGCCAGCTTACTTAAGCTTGAATTAATCCAGCATACTTCAGCTCCAACGTACTCCAGCTCAATTAATCTTGACAAAATTTACAAATGATAGAGCTAATCGTTTTAAGGCCTGCTTCATAGCTAAACGTAAAACCTACATATTTTACTGAATGGCAAAATTCAGTCAAAACCTGAAGATGCAATAAATATAAATTTCAATAAAAGTTTTTTTACCGTGTCCATGAATAAAGAGAACACTTTTTAACTCCTCTTAAGCATTTATTTAATTTTTGTTGCTTTTATTCTTCTTTTGCAAACATGATAACTTTTGTTTATCAGTCTATCGCTCTTTTTTCAAATATATAAATCAAATATCAAATAAAAATAGGAAAAGAACAAAAGTAGGATAAAGTAATTATTAGCTAAATTGAGATTTCAGCACAGAGAAGTGCTGTCTATTTTGAAGCCACATATTTAAATTGCAGCATCTGTGAATCAATCAGTCAGTCTCATATGCCCGAGATATATTTGATTTAAGTTAAGTTACTTTAGCTGATAAAAATAGAGAATCGAGTAACCGTACCTCATTATGTTTAAGAGTTGGTTTCTTGAGTTTCTTGGTTGCTTGTAAATAATTACGCAGATATTGAATTTTTACACTGCAAAGAACAGTAAGGTTATGTTTATTTTGAATTTGTAAAAAGCAAGATTATACTATAATAACTTTAACTGTTGTTAAGGTATGTTTATTTAGAGTTTGACTCAGTTATCTTTAAAATTAAGTTAAATAGTTGTTAGAAATAGACAGTTTCTTACGAACTGTCAGTATTAACGATTGTTTGTCAGATTTTCTTTATTAAAATGAAGCGTTTTGATTTGTACAGCCTGTTGGATGTGATAACATCTTGGGGTCAAAAACTAAAGAAGATCACTGTCGAGTCTGCGGAGGAGATGGTAGCAGCTGTCAAGTTGTCCAAGGAACTATCGACAGCAAAGACTTTGACATAGGTGACTCATCTTTGACGATTCTACAAACGTAATCGTGTCTGAACCGGTGTAAATGCAATTTTTTTCTTTATTTATTTTTATAACTGTATTGTAAAAGACTGATTCTTGGAGCTATTTTTAAATTACGTAATCTGAAGGTCTCTTTATTAGCTCAATCTGTCTCGAAATTCCCTTAGATTTGAATACTTTTACATTATCTCAGACTGAAAGTCTCATTAGAACGTTCTCAGACAGGAGCTTCTTTCGGAACCTGCGACGCTAATATTTTGTGTTCTTTGAAGAAACTGTACGCTTGTGAAGAATTATAGAATGATTCTGAGACTTCTTAAAACCTGAGGCCCTATACTCGAGTTTTGTAGATAGGCGGTAATTAGAGCTTACTCAGATTATCCATCGAATGCATCGACATCTACTGTATCGTACACACGTAAATATGTGTCTGTACGTGTAAACTAACTATTTTTATTCAAGTATTAATTTGCATCTTGTCGGAATTCAACTACTAAAGTGCACACAAATTAAACGGCACTTTAAAAAATCTATCAAGTACCCTAATCAATGCAAATATTTTCTTTTCAAAATGATTTTTATGCACTGTAATTTGTAATCAGATATGGTAACACTGGTTATATGTTTCTGTTATTAATGACAACAATAATAATAATAAACTCTATATACCTCGAATATTAATTTCTTATGTTACTGAGTGATCGTAAAAGCAAAATGTTGTAAATAGTGGTTTCTTGAATTGTTACTGCCTGAAGTCGACCTGGACGTTGGGATGTTGTTCTCAGTATTAGTCGTTGCACAATGCAAAGACAATCTGACTCTAAACCGGCCTATGACTAAGTTTATAATAAACAAATCATTTCGATAAAAACATTTTGAATGCCGTCTCAAAGCCATTTCAGTTCCTTAGTCGTTTTTATTACTTAAAATTTTTTCGGTCGCTAACCATTTTTAGCCTTTCGCCGCTACTGAGGCCAGACGTGGTGGTCATTTTATTATGGGGGCATCTTACAGGCGGCTACCATTACTTCCTGTGAGAGGACAGACAATTTACATCCACTCTGGGATTTCAAACCCGAGCTCTTCGGTATCGCTGTCGGCTCCCCTTACCACAATACCGTCTGGGCCGCTTACTAAGAAAATTAGCTTACATATACTTGAAAAAAATCTCAAATGTTAACATAACATAACATAACAATAGTAGCGCTTTCTTCTTATGAACAGGAGGAAAATAGCTTAGGCAATGTTGCCCATTGCTCTTCTGCCATTTGATAATTTAAGACGAAGATTTTAAATAGAAATTTCCGTGAAAGGTAAATAACAAATAAGTAGATAAGATCCCAAACTGACACCAAATATATAATATCAGCAAAAGAACCCATCCTAAATTCAAGGTGTCGGTTAAATCTTTAAAACTTCCCAACTGGATGAAGAGCCGATTCAATCCCTCCCAAACCACCAAACACAAACTCTTGAACCAAACAAGAGTGCGATGGCGAGTCTTTAAAAAATTAAGGTTAACTCAATTGATTAAGTTCTCATTTGTGATAAGTTTTCACATTTTGTAATTGGCTGCGTAATTCACATTTTGTGAAACATCTGTAATATTTTGAATAATCTGCGTGTAATTACATCTTTTTTTTATTTAAAGAAAACGAAACCCTCGTGCACCCCAGAGTATTACACGAAACTTACAAATCATAAGTAAAAAAGGCAAAATTGTAAGTAATATTATCAGTTTTCAACAATACAATGAAATCATACACAAAGATTAAAAAAACACAAGTAAATAAAAAAGTATAAAATGTATAAAGAAATAATTTACAATGTTTAAAATAAAATCAACAAAATCGTTGAAAGCTCGGTAGGCCGAAGCTGAAGATACAAAAAAACATTCATAACATTTCAGCGGCCAATGAATTCCAACTAATTTTAATCTACATTTTAATAGATTTCTTGCTTTATCAAGCAATGGGCAGTCAAAAAGCAGGTGGAAAACACTTTGCTGAACTCTAAGATTGAAATAACACAAATTGCAAGATGTCAGCTTAAATCGTTCAAGATAAACATTAAACTTACCATGTACAGACAAAAATTGCGTAACTTTAAAATTAAGCAACAAGTCCTTACTTTCCAGTCTTTCAGAAATAGTTGGGAAGAATGTTTTTGTAACAGATCCCTTATCAGAAGAGATATAATCACAGTTCCACCGCTCAATCATTTTAGCTTTGAATGTTTTTTTTTTTAAATAAGATTTTGGAATATTTCCATCAACATTAATATCATTTTTAGTTGCATTCTTAGCAAGCCAATCAGCTCTTTCGTTTCCATAATTACCCGAATGACCACGGACAAATGTAAAAAAAACACTGAAATACCCTTCTTCTCCAGATCTCCGAGAGACTGCTCTATATTAACAATAATATCATTACATAAAGATGTATTTTTAAGGGATTCCAGGGAAGAGAGTGAATATGTACAGATTAAGTAGCTGGAACCACGTCAATCCTGGCTAATTATCCACTTGATTGAAAAATTAATACACAGAAGCTCAGAAATATATACATTACATTCATTTCTAGTGCCAAATTGGTGACACTCAATTTCAATATCATCTTCAAAAGTAACATAAGCAAAACCAACTTTATCATCAGTCCTACTACAATCCGCATACATTACAAATGAGAATGAATTTACATCAGTATCCATACTATCCAGAATCTGTACTGGTTGTCTTACAGAAGGATGTGGAGGACAGACAAGGGCAATAAACGATCAAAATGAGAATTGGAGTAGTTTGTAAGACTATTCTTGTAATCTATAAAGGTCAGAATAAACAAATCCAGGGTGGAAATCCGGCAATAGAGAAACCAGCATTGCAACTAATAGTTTGGTAACCCCTTATAACTCGCAGCAAAATTCGTTTTTGAGCTCGAAGCAGGCGTTTAGATTTAATTTTCCTTTTTAGAGACAATCCCCAAGCTCTACATTCATATGAAATAAAGGGTACAATGCCTTGTTTATAAATAATTGCGCTAACATTCGATTTAACACCAAAACTATTACATGCAATTCGATTCAGCCCACGCTGAAGTCTCTCACATTTATTAGAAATGTAGGAAATATGCTTTTTCCAGTTTAATTTGCTGTCCAACAAAACACCTAAATATTTAATTTCATTCACCCTCTCAAGGGGATTGTCATTTAAAAGCAATTGATATCCTTCATAAGTAGTATTTTTTTTTTATCAATGAACATGGTCTTGGATTTTTGCATGGTTAAAGTTTAACTTAAAAATCTATTGACCAATGATAAATGAAATCTAAAACATCTTGGGCGAGATGAAAAGCTTTTTGCATTTCTTTTTCCTTGAATACAAATCAACAAATCATCTGCAAAGGCAATGACTTGACAACTGAAGAGATCAGAAAGTTTCTGTAAGAGATCATTCATAATAATAATCTTGGATAATAATAAAGATTATTATAATCTTGGGACCGGAAACAGAGCCTTGTGGACATCCTCTATGAGGTCGACGAACACTTGAGGTGCCACCCAAAAAAGCTCGACCGTCCTGTCTTTCAGCAAATCAGAAACACATTAAACACATTATGTATAATTAACACGTTATGAGGTATTTTCATTTCTTTTATAAATTAAGAATAGCAGGCCACCACGCATTATCGAAAGCTCCTTCAATATCAAGAAAAATTAAAATAGTGTACAAACCTCTCGTCCTGCCCCTCTGTACAATGTTGCTAAGACTCAGAAGTGCACCCTCAGCACATTTTTGAACAATGAAACCATATTGGTCAGCACTAAGAATATTTTCTTTGTGTAGATGCCAAGTAATTCTGTTAGTAATTAGTTTTTCAAAACATTTACCTAAAGAAGAAAGAAGACAGATACACCTAATATTATTCACATGTGGAACACTAAAAGTTTGTTTCTTGGGTATCACAATAACGAGGGGTTCTTCCAAGTTCGTGAAAATCACCAAGATTCAAACATATATTAAATAATCTATGAAAAACAGCAGAAAAAAGCCGATAGAAGTATCTTATACTCTCATTGGGAATAGAATCAGGGGCAGGAACCCTGACAAGCCTTAAATTACGAATTACATAATCCACCTCGGCCTGCGAAAAAGGATTTCAATCTGAGACGCATAATTACTGCGAGCAGATGAGTGTGAAAGTCATTATCAAACCTCACACAATCAGGAGGAAATGCTTTATCAAGAATAGAATCGACAGTTTCCCCCAAGGAAGACGTAAAGTTACCGCTTGAAAGACGAAAACCCGAGATCTCAATCTTTCTCATAAAAGTTTCTTTAATACCGTAAGTGTAATTTTTTTCCCACACATTCTTATTATTGATATCAGAAAGAAACTTCCTCCAAGACTCTAATTTGGCCTCAAGAAGCATTTCATTGTATGTTTTCCTTAAATCAAGGTATTTCTGCTTATACAAATCCCTTATATCATTGCTAGTAGTCCTCTGGAACCTCCGTCTAGCAGTATTGACTATCTCTTATAATGGAAATTTCCAATGACCACCAAGGTACTTTTCGCATACCAGTCCTTCTAGTATACATAGATTTAATACATGCAGAAAAATAACTGAAGTCGTAAAATCTACAATCACATTAGGTGAGTCAGCGTTTGAGCAAGAATCCAAACCATTAATGATCAAAGAAATATACTGTGAATAATATTTTTCAAAATATCCCCAATTTGATTTTTTGTATTAAACAAAAATCTACTGACAGCAATTAAAGAAGCAGCAGAAACAGATAAGTCGAATTCAATCATTGCATGGTCTGACAATGATTTACACCAGCGGGTAACATTTGCTAGCAAATCAGCTCCCATAATTGTGACATCTATATAGCTTGATCCCTGTTCCGAAAAAAAGGTAGGGCCGCAGTCCTCATTGATCACATATAAGTTATAAGAGCTGACAGGGACTAAACCACAGTTCAGACTTACTATTGGAATCCATACCCCAAATAAGCTTTGTAAGATCCCTAGCCTGGAAGACCCGACTTATTTTCTGCAAATCAAAGTCAATACATCCGGAAGGCTCAAAGTAGTATGAAAATAAAAAATATTTTGTATCTTTAAAAATAATATCAAGAGTCACCATATTATAATCCAAGAATCTCAAATCCAAAAACGTAGGTAGAAATCCGGCTCGAACAACAATAGCAGCCTTTATGACTTCTGAATTAAAATCATAGTATAACCTAAAGGAACTCGGAAAGCCAGGCATAAGACCATGATAAGAGTACGGTTCTTGAATAAAAGCAACAGAAATATTGTTTACCTCCATATTCAAAACAAGCTGCTGAGTAGCAGCCTCACAGCTTTTCGTAATCTTTTATTTTTTGATTATGTCTAATTCAATTAATACAGACTTTCAAATTCTTATGTGGGCAATTTTTACTTTCATGTTCACGTGCAAAGAAATAACAAGCGCGTAGGTTTTTGCAATGTTCAGCATGACGATTATATCCTAAACAATTAAAACGCCGATTAATCACAACAAAATCATTGTTAAAATAACAAACTTTCATTTAAGCGAAAATTCGGAGACGCTATTATACTAAGATAAAAGAATTTATAAAGTCACAAATGAACAGTTATTCGAATACCAATTCCAGGTCTTACTTGGCCTACATATTCTGATGACTATACATCACATTACTTGCCAAATGAATTCGTCAAGGCATTGGTCCAATTTTCGCAAGCAATGGGTACCACAGCAGTACGAAAGTCAGTATGTTAATACTTTATGATACTCGATACATCGTGTAAGCTAACTGCATTGCACTGAAGGTCGTCTCTGAACTTGATTGCACTTAGATTGCTGAAAGGCCTTGTGTGTTAAAAATATGTATGTGAGAAAGGCCTTGTGTATTGAAAATATGTAGTGGTGTGTCGCAGTCAGCACAGAATTTTGAAATAACAAAAAAGAAGGCAGACCTCATGTCATCTGATCATCTCACTTCGTTGCCACCAATGTATTGATTCTCAGTGGGTATCCGAACCGCTGCGCAAATGTGGCCATTTAGCCTTGGCTGTTGGAGGTATCGATTTTCCCCATTTAGGATGAAACTGTGGATGCATGAAAGCCTAAGCCCATACTTTAATGGTTAAACCAAATGCGTGCTGTAGATCAGAGGCCAAAAAGCATTGCCCGCCGTTAGATCACTTATGCATAGACTAGTACTGTGTGCCCTTTTCTATATATAATTATAAATATTGCCTTTTCATTGTACTTATTTTCTCGTTATTAGGTTATAATGACCTATTGTTAATACCGGTTGGAGCAACTTCCATTCTTATTCAGGAAGTAAACCCAAGTAATAAAAATTACTTAGGTAAGTATTATATTTTTTCACATTATAGTTTAATACCCTTCAAGAGATCACCATAGCATATGTACTTCAATCTTAAAAACATACGCGGTGTACTACTACGTACATCATTTAAAATAAATGGTGTAAATTCTAAACAAAAAACCATATAGTCTGAATCTAAATCTTGTTTATCCTCTATAACAGGGGCGCAGCCGGATTTGAATTTGGAAATATCGCTACACGTTAAAGGGAAATTTGTCCATATGATGCTAATTTTATCATTTTAATTAGTTATATCTGTGTCAATAAGAACAAAATGTCTGAATCGAATTTATAGCTTTGTAAAAAATAATAATAAACTAATAAAATTTTTTATTTATTTATTTAATTAAATTTAACTTAAATTTCGTTATTTAAATAATTATAATTAATATTTTTATTTTATAATGCTGCAATATAAATTTAAATTATTTTATATAAATGTGCTTAATAGTATCCTAGTACTGGTATTCCGAATGCAGATAAGTAGTCCATAAATTAAATATAGTTAGGTTGCACTAATCTATACCTTTGTTTGGGCTAACTATTTTAATAATGTGGAGGTAATAGACATTTAATTAAAACTTTGAGAAAAATGTGAAATAAATTTGAAAAGCTGTAATTTTTTAGAAGTGTTTAATCTATTGTTTAAGCATTCAGTTCATTATTTATCTGATATTTAAGTTCACACAGAACCTTGTGTTCACCTATGAAAACATGCCACATAATTGCTTTTCATAAACATAGAGGTTTCTAATATTTTTTTCAAATAAAAGAATGAATAAAATTATTAGCATTAAAGTAGGAATTTATTGACATCATTTATAATAATTACTTTTTAAGTATTTTTTATCTTTAATAAATTTTATAATGGGTTGCAAAGATGTAAATTATTCTTTTGTAACAGGCGTCTACTGTTTTTAATAATTTATAATTACAATAATATTCTTTATCCCGTAAAGACATGTCATTCAATCTATCCAACAAAATGTTCTAACTGAGGTTTCTAACTGGACGCTTTAAAAGTCAAAGTGAAATTTTAAGAACATTGCTAGAATAATTCAAATTGTGCTATAATAATAAATATATTTAATATTTTGTTGGATTATTACTGAAGCAAATCTGTTAAACTTTACGTTAGATCCTTAGTAATCAATAGAATTTATACGGAAAATGAAACATTTATATCAAAATTAAAACATTTTTTCTTGGTTAAAAAAATTTAATTATCCAACAAAATTTCTTAAAATTGCTTACTTTTTATTACATAATTCCACCACGCGTGGATGTCTTGGCACCCAGGGCTGCGCGCCTGTTTTCAATGACTTTTAATAACGAACGACAATTTAAAGTTAAAATCCCCATTCCAGTCTTTTTTTTTTTTTTCGTTTATTGCTCTCCACTTGCAAGGAAATTAATCTTTACATGCAGAACTCGTCTGATTAATATACCTGTCAGACATTTCGACAAATGAATATCAAAGAAATGAATTGTAACAAATATTTGTCTGAATATGAAAAAAAAATTCTAAAATTTAAACTATTATTTCTTATTCGGAGTTCATATTTTCATATTAATTTTCAATAGATTGATAAACTTTGGCATTATATTTTCTTTAGTAAGTGAAGTAGTTTTACTTACTTCAGTTTTAAGTAAAGTAGCTTCTTCAATTTACTTTTATTTTGCGTCTTTTATTAATTAGAGCTTGATAATAAGCTTAACTATAAGCACAAATTATAACTCACAAAGACTGCAGGCCATGGTACTGTCACCAAACCATGCTCCGTTTCTTAGTGATTGTGTAATAATGTATTCTGTTGTTGTGGGAGGCCCGATTTTTTGTTTCAGAAAATACCCGTGTTGTCAAAATGTTATCTGGCTGACTATGCTAATGTCAGTGTCATCAATCAAACACTTTCACGAGAGGTTTCGTTTTAGGCTTACGAATGTATCACTTCGGTAAAGCTTTGGTCCTTTCGCAACTAAAACTCACACAGTTTAAAGAAAGAAAAGCGAATCGTGCCAGAAATTCTGGTGCATCTTTGCGAATAACAAAACAGTTAGATCGGTGCACCAGAAAGCATGTAGCGGTAAGTTTATGAACACGATACTCGACATTACGCAGAACGTACAGGGAGCTTTTAATATTCTAATATCATCAAGATCAATTTTTAGATGATTAGTTGAAAGCAGCTTGCAGTTATGCCGTCTTTTCGGAAGGCTGCCACTGAAGCAAAGTCATCGACATTAATGATTAAAATGTGTCAGGATAGGACTACACGAGCGACTGAATGCCATCGATAAGAGTTTATAGGCAGCATTGAGATAGTTGCGATTGTTGAAAGCCGTACTTCTCGACAACCCTGGTTTTCATCAAAGACAAAATATATGTCGACAATATATCTGTGAAGTCAGAACCCGATTTAGTCTAAAGGAGATGCTATTAGAGATATGGGGCCCTTTACAAGGGGTATAAGTCAATTTTTATATGGGATATAGAACAATATTTGGGGGTGGCCCCAAGAAAGTGGAGGCCCAAAGTATAGCTTGTGCTGCTTATACATAAATCCGGCACTGGGTGAAGTGCTACCTGGTTCCAGGGCTCATTTCCCTCAAGTTTGAGGCGGAAGCTTTACAGTAGCTAGATTCAGCAATACCTCAATCACCTGTGGTGCTACGAAAATGCTGGCCTAGCTTCTATTTGTACCTCAAAACCGAGGCGAAAGCTTCACAGTTAGTTAGGTTCAGCAATACCTCAATCACCTGGAGTACTACAGACGTGTTGGCTTACCTTCTACCTGTCGGTGAAGTGCTGCAGTTGGTTGCACTACCTTAGCTTGAGCGATTGCAAAATTCTGCAAAAATAAATTGCAAAAATAAATTTCGAGCAAGATAAAACTGACTGTACCTGGAAATTTTGAATAGACAGTCCTACAAGGTGCATAGATGATTCTTTGACCACCGAAATCTCCACATTTCACATGTACTCCAAGCATTTGTCGGACATGATTAGCAGTTATTTGTTTAACCTTCCCCAGTTTTAGCTGAATGTTGAATTGTGAAAGTTGGTTGAAAGTATATGGTCATCCATAACGCAAGATTCTCTCATCACGCTGATTTCAAAGGCCTCATTGGTCTCGAATGGTTGCTTCTAGTATCGCCGTAAGAAATGGTATTACTTCTTCTGATCATGTTCTATGAAAATTTTATTGAATTATCTTTTTGAAATTAAAATCACTTATTTATATATGCATTCTCTGTCAATCTTCAAATTTTAATTACATTAGATTCTTTCAATGTGTTGCCTTTTACCTGTTCTACAGTTCTACAGTGTATGTGCCGTTTTTTCAATGAACATGATTCATAGAAAAAACGGCAAAATGTCAAAGGTTTCTTGCCTGCACTTAGTGTCTAATTCGAACGGCTAAAGTTTGTTAGATATCAGCAGAGGCTGAAAATGTTCACCCAAGAAGTATTATTATTTACCACAATTATCTTATACTCATCACTGTTTTTAACGAGTACATTTTGACAAGACATTTTTTCTACTTTTGTTTAGTGCAAATGTTTTATGATATTTATGCATTGAAAACATTCATTTACAACTCTTTTTGTATCATTTCAGCCATTCGAAATGCAGCTGGTGACTTTTATTTAAACGGAAATAGGAGAATTGAATTTTCCGGGGAAAGAGCGCTTGCTGGAACAATATTTACATACGAAAGGAAACCTCAGGCTCAGGAAATATTGACAGCAAGAGGACCTACAACTGAACCTATTTTCATTGTAGTAAGTTAAGAATTTCCTAATTGTGATGTCACACAGTATTCTTCTCTCCTCGCCAAAGAAATTGTCCACTATTCATATTTTTTAATGCTTACTAATAACTGAAATATGTACATTAAATATTACAAAGTAATTTCGTTTTCACTATTGGCTTCCATAAGCCTTCGTATTTTTTTTTTTTTTTTACTTCTCTCTAGGTCTCACATCCAGTGTAAATTTTTGCACCTCAGAGACTGAAGGCTAACACCTCCTACATATTCCATCAGTTGATATCACCAATATATTACATTTACCGTTCAATAATAATAACCTCTAGTGAATGAATAATAAATAGAATAACTGCTTTATTGTCCTTTGTTGCATTCGTTTTGTAAGTTCCAAATGAAATTCTGATTCAGACTTACATTACCTGCATAAAGGATATGCTGCATAACCTTAATTTAGTAGGTACGATGTTGTGAATGCAAGCAATATGGAATTAAATTATGAGTGGTTCAATATAATTTCAGGAAGGGATTCCCATCTTTTTCGCTTAGATTAGCTCTCTGTATTAGTCACAAAACTATCCTGAACTTCTACAGAATTTCAGATTATTTTCTCTCCTATTTAACAAACAGAAAAATAAACTATAAATGTATTTATGAAAATTCGTATGTAATATTAATATTTCAGTCTAAAGTTCTTCACGTGCCCCGAGTTGCTTAAAGCATTCACAATAGCTCTTCTCTCTGGGGTTTCGTGTACAAAGTTTTGAAACTTTACAGTATTCATAGCACTACTAATGCGAATCCTGATGGCATCACAAATGCTTTTGCAGATACTTTAAGCTCAATTTACTATAAATGATTTTCCTAATCCATTTGATATAAATGTTATTAATCATGTTAAAAAATTTATCAACAACAATTATCAGAGTTACAATAGGCCCATTTCACCAACAGAAGTTAAGCTTGTAATAATGAATCTAAATACTAAGAAAGCTTTAGGTTTATCACAAACATACCAGTGTTGTTATATATCGAAAATCATTTCCCTTAGAATTTCTGCGCGAATACACTAGATACACAATCAGGAAAAATAAACCGTTTTCTGTTCATATCTTGCGAAACAGTTCTTATACAGGGTTGTACGAATTATTCTACGGTAAGCCGCACATGCCATGGCAAAAGCTGATGAACATTACGTTTTACAGCTTTTCGTAAATCTTGGTTTATTGTTTTACTCATTTTTGCTGCAGATATGTTTAACTGATGTCTGCGTAACTGATTTTCGCTTGTTAACAATGATTTAAACGTTACAGACAGTGCGTACCTTTTTCTGTTATTCGTTTGGAGAGTTCTTTTCATGCAGAAGTAATGACTGACAGTTTTTGCTTTTCCAATTAATAATGTTGCTTATTTTTCACTAGGAATTTGAATACTATGCATTTCACAACCATTCGAGATCTAATTATCAAATAGGAATATTCCTCTTCGAAAAATTCAAAAAAAGGTATCCTTCGATTCTCAAGTTGTTTACATGCGACATTTTGAAAGAATACATTTAAAAGTAGGAGACACTTAGCATTTCAAAGAATAAGCTATTGCCAAAAAGTTTTATTCCGAAACATTTCCTCTTTAAAAAAAATATTTATCGAAATCGTCCTAAAATTACGTAAACACCCTCGTATTTAGTTCAGTCATCATGTTTGTCACTATGGACATATCATTGAATTTTAACGTAATTCCTGATAAACTGACGGGTTCACGTTTTAAACACGTTTTGTGAATGGTAAAATATGGCGAAGCTACAGTTTCCGATATTCGATTTACAATTTTTTTAAATTTAATGTTTAAACAATTTGTTGCACGCATCTTCGTTTTACGAATAAACTGAAATTTCGGTTGATCTTTACAATATGGTAACTGGTAGTTTGGCGACATTTTGGAGGCGATAAAGGTTACTACCTGGAACTTTGGTAATAATGGGAGCAGTACTCAGTTCCGATTAAGCATTATTTTGTGTGGGGAAAATGAGAGATCATGGGATATGTCATGTGATATTAATGGACGAATTAAGGTTCTTTAATCGGAAAAGGGGGGAATTTGGACAAGTATCTGTGGATGTATATTATTTTGTATTAAGCTTCATTGTGTGTTGTGTGAAGTAGGGTTGAATAATTTTGGGATTGTATGGCGCTGTCTAAAGTGAATTGTAGATGTGATAAAGATAATTTTTTTTATGAAATTCTATCAAATTGGGGAAAAAAATCGTTCAGTAATTTTATTGAATGCATAATAAAAGTGTATCCACCATGTAAGGAAGATTCGGAAGAAGATTAGGTTATTTAGACTTTGTTAAGAATGTGAGTAGTATTCAGTTCTGATTACGCATTATTTTGTGTGAGGGAAATGAGAGATCATGAGATATGTTATGTGATCTTAATGGACGAATTACTGTTCTTTAATCGGGAAAAAATCTGGCAATTTTGTATTTGGCTGTGTTGTGTGAAATAGTGTTTGTGAATTTTTGGATCCCATGGCCGTAAGTAAAGTGAATTCGAAATGGGTATTTAGTGGTATTGAAAAGGATAGTAATAAATGTTTTTTAAGGTTGTGCGAGAGAGAAATAAAGATGTTTTATTATGTTATTTATTTTACCTGGTATCTTGCTTTGAAAGATAAGTATGATTTTAAAGATTCTGAAACAGAAGTAAGAAAGTGTATCCGCCACGTAATCAAGATTCTGAAGAAGATTAGGTAAGTTAGTATTTTTTTATTATTTGAGGATATTATTTTTATGCATTGTTGTAAATGTAAGGTGGAAAGGAATTTGGTATTATTGGGAAAATTGTTATTAGCAATGATTTAGTTAAAAGTAATTAGGATTGTAAGGTAATTTTTATTAATTTAATGTATGTGCTCATTTATATTTTAAGTAGTGTTTTTGAATTTAATTATATTTTAATGAAATGATAGTTATTTTTGTGAATTTTATGTTTGTAGGAATTTGGTATACGTTTTTAAGTTGAAATAAACGTGCATGGAAATAATTTAAATATTTGATATTAAGTATTTGTAATGCTTGAGGTATGAATTCGTTGGTGACGTGTATAATGTAATAGATTATTTAGAGGTAAAAGTTTTTGGATATTTCTATTTATTTTATATGTGGAAATGTTCATATTTGTAAAGGGTAAATACTTTTTCGCGATCATGTAATTTCATATATGTTCTTTTTACCGGGTTTAAAGATTGAGAAAATTGTCATGTATTTTCGTGAAATTTTTTTAATTTATGAGAAAAAAGCAGAGTAGCATGAAAATGACAGTTCTGCATCAGGTGGGTCAGTGGGTCAGGGGGCGTGGTCAATGACGTCACACAGAGGGCGGGGCCAAAGGCAACGTCATCACACTAGGAGGCGGGGTCACGAGTGGAGTTGAGTTGTTGGTAGACTACTGGTTGAGTTGTAGACCTCCTGCTTTTCATTAAAAGTTAGTTTTTTTAAATTTGGCAACGGAGTCATGGCGTCCTCTAGGGATGAAAAAAGAAAATAATGTATTTAGGAATTGCTTATGGCGTCCTCTAGGGACGAAAAAGTGAATTATATGTTTTAGAAATATATTTTTTAAGTCTGGTGTTAAAATTATTCAATGCGCGACTCTGAAAACAATGTAAAAGAAACAAATATAAAAAAAGACTTTCCTTTAATGATAGTTCATCATGTCATGAAAATGAAATTACAAGATAATTTGTTTTTATTACTCAATTTTATTCTGATACTTTTATCCTTTCTAGTTTTTAAATGAAACTTTAACTTATTTCTTCAGGTTTTCTGTTCATAATAACATATTCATTTACTGTCATATTTTTTTTAATACTTAACACGTTTCTAATTTGTAATATTTTATTTAATTTCCACATACTATTTTTTTCATACCTTTCATAAATTTTCAGAGCATACCCTGATTTTTAACTTATATGTTATATTTTCACAAACGTAATTGTTCCCGCACATGCTGTTTATTTGTTACATTACTTAGTTTTAGATGCAATTCCGCACTTTTTTTTAACGTTATAATGTTCAATATATTCTGAATTTAAACTTCATTTACTTTTTTTAAACTGTTCTAGTATTCTATACACACTTAACTTAGTTGGTATGAAATTCCGTATTTAAAAAGAAACGTTTATTTTTCGTGATCTTAGTTCTTTTACTAAATTTTCTACAGAATTTCTAATTTCTTTCACGTGTTTAACAATATCTTTCCTTACATTACCGAATATTTTTGAAAAAACTTAAGTCTATAACTGTTAATTGCTTTTCTTACGTTCATGATTTCCCTTCTGTAGTTTATATTTCATAATTCTAGCTATAACTTATTTATTATAATGTTTTTATTTCTGTCTCATCACTCGTAATTCCAACATTTTATTCCCTTTTTTATTCTTTTTAACACGATATGGATTGTTTTCCATTTACTACATATTCAAATATTTCCTTACAAATTTTTAATAATACTTGTTTTGTATTCCTCCGATCATAATTAGATCATCTACAGGTTTTTTTACTTCAGAAATTTCCATTCACAACTTTACAGTTTAATACCATTTATATCTAAATGTATTTCTTTCTCATATAGTTTTATGGTCTTCAAAGTTTCTAACATCATTTTAGTTTTAAATCCCGATTACCTTTAAGTGTGTTGATAATTTTCATTTCTAATTTTACAACCACGTTCAGTGTTTCATCCACACATACCAAAATATTTCTTACATTTTCTGATATTTAGTCTATGTCATATTTCAGTACTTCAAATGAATTTACACTGCTCACACTATTATTTTTTCATGTTTTAGAGACACTAACTATACTAATTTTACTATTTTTCCTGCACTAATTGCATCTATGTCAGCACTCATGATAAACTAGCAATTGTTTTTGCATCACATGCATAAAAAATTCTTAAAACCAACTTTTTCAATATCGTACTACTCAAATTACTGTTTTCCAGATGGGAATTA